AAGTGAAGTATTAAAGGAAAGAACTAGTTAAAACTTTTTGTGTTGTGTTGTTATTGTTTTTGACAATTTAATTATTAAATTAATATTTGTTCTTTGGTACAATCAAAATAATTTACAAAATATGTTGTTGTAGCACAATAAGTTATCATCATTTATGAGCGTAGGCGCTTGCGGCAGTACCGCTTTAATTCCGACGATTAAGTATATTTTCTTAGGAATCATTTCAAATATTTTAAAAATAAATCACTGATTTAGAAAGAGAATTGTCTAGATCTTTTATTTCGGAATGTTTACGTTGTTGTTGGCTGTTTAAGTTTAATTTCAATTCAATGAACGCTTAATTTTCTACTTAAGTTTGAACGACTAGAAAAACATGACTTTACTGATGTTTTTATTACTTGAACCAAATATGTTTTAATGTTTTTTCATGTCTTATTTTTCTCTGAATATTCAGCTTCAATAGAAGCCCAATTATAACGAAATTAAGCCAAATGCTGAATCTCAGTGAACTCAAGTCAAAGGCGTCAATCCGTCATGTTTGGATGCTATTTTCGGACAGTGCGTTAACCTTCTTTTTTTTTTTTTTTGTGGGACCATTGACTTTTTTTTAAATAAATAGTTACAAGGAACACAACGATATTTAATTTATAAATATATGGGGGAGGGTGCACGGTAGGGGAGTCTGGCCCACAGACTAAATGAACTCGCATTACCTGGTCTATCAAGAACAGCGAAGCGAAGGAGAATGGGCTACATTTTGGAAAAGTGAATTCCATGTGGATTAGGCCTGCTGGGGATACCGCGATAAAAAAAATAGGTTGTTTGCTCTACATCAGTGGTGAAAATGAGTTTTTTGGCCATAACGCGTGTTGAACTATACTTTGCAGCGCTCCAACGCCAAAACTATTGATTTTACGAAAAAATAAGTCACATAAATTGTAGGAAATATTCTCTAGTTTCATTTATATATATATACATTTTTTTTATCGTGAAATGAGTCGGAAAAAAAATGTCAAAACTGCTTTCAGGCGCCATTTTTTCAATATTGCGGCGTGAACGGCGATGATACCAGTTGGAAAGTTTGAAATTCGGAAAGAGCACATCGAAATCTATAAAATTATAAATTTTTAAGACTGGAAAATTTCCAGGTTAAACTACCAAATGATTTTGTTCATTTAAGTTAAACCTACGGTTGTAATCTTAAATTGCATCTTCAATGTTGCATTTTAATTTATATATATATTCATTTACATGTATATTTTTTGTTAATATGCATTTATCCTCAAATATTCAAAATAAAATTTGGCTAATTGCATCACAGTGAACTAATTTAATTAAATATATTTATCAGCGGTTAAAAAAAATCATGCAAACAAAATATAAAATTCCAGGCTCTGGGAATGACTAAATGGATTTTTTTTTCTTTTCATCTTGACACATCGAAAATATACAGTAATAAAGATTATTATATTTTGTAATTATTGTGTTTGGTTAATTTTTATAATCAAAGTAATATACTTAAAATGTATTTTGAAATAATTTCTATTCAAGGGTGTTAAGGGAAAGTGTGCTGTACACATATCACCCCACATTTTCTTTCTTTAAGATTTATTGTATCAATGTGACATATTAATAAGTGTTTCAAAACTTTTGAAGTTAGTGTTTTACGGTTGTTTCCAAAATTATCGATATGTTCAAATGTATTGATATGTTATGTTTGGGGAAGGTTCCCGTCGTTGGGAAAGATATGTGATAAGTTTAAATATAAAGGAATAGTTCTATAAAAGTTGTCAAGTTGATCTCTAAGACAATCGACGGAGATAGTCTTCGTTTAAAAAGGATATTCTTTCTGGAGGTGGAAAGCCACGATTCAGACTCCAATCACGCGAGCTAGCCTACACGTTGGCAATATCACATCCCTATCTGATTCATGATGCTCGATAGAGAAATGAATATGTCTTAATGTGCATGCCTCCTCCCTCCTCCCCGACCCCACTATTGGCGTCTCCGTTATATTTTATCACACATTTTATTATTATTGAGAAATATTACTTACTAAAACAAAATTCAGTAAGCTGAATGAAATTGATCTTACGCCTTCCAAAACCTATTGTTCTCGAATTCTTTTTTCACGATTCTTTCTTTAGATCAGTCTAATGTAGGTGAAAATAACGAAAAAAGAAGAGGTTTTGGAGTTTATTTATTCTGATAACCTACGTTTTTTTTACCTACAGGTAAAACCGGTTAACACCCACTAATCTGGAATACAGGGGATTTACCAGTCCTGGAAAAGTCTGAAATTTCATTTTAAGAAACATCTTAACTTATAAAACGTGATGTTATTGGAATGTACACTACCATTTTTTAGCATTACCATTTTCTTTGAAATTTGTGAAATACTTTTACAACCCACAAAACATTAAATTACAACTTCTCTCGGTAAGAACAGCGCTGTTGTACAGTTTATTTAGAACGTTTCTTCTTTGCTCGACGATTGTACTATCTTCTGGCAAATCCCTCACCACGTTCCAACAGTAGTCTGCGAGCATTGAACTATCCTACCGACCTTGATATCTTCGTTCCATCGAGGGTATATCTTGGCGAAATTGCTCACCATGTTCGTCACTTTCAAATCCACAATTTTAGGGAAAGAAATCCAAATGTGAGTGAAGAAAGTGAATCTTGAACCGAGATCTCTGTACTTCTCAAGGAGAGTTTGGACTAAGACAGCATAATTATCTTATCGTTTGTTACCCGAGAAACCACTAACTAACTAAGCTGTAAATGCTTCCCACGTTGCTCTTTCTTTACCCTGAAGAATATTAAAAAATTCACCTTCTTAGAGAAGCTTTAGCTTCACTTAAGCGAAGAAATTTTCCTCTAGAGCACATGAATGCCTCTCCTGATTGGTCCAATCATTTGACAAAATTTTTCATGAGCCCTAGCTTTATATGTAGGGGGGGGGGCAAAATTATTTTTTCAGGACCCACAAGAGGGTTGTACAGAACATTTCTTTGTCCAAGAGTCAGGACTTCTCTTCAAGGCCATTATTTCCTGATCTAATGAGATGCTCTGTCCCGACTGTCCCGCTCACATAAGAAACAACAGTACTAAGTATATCCCTGTTGCATGCCTCGAAGAATTGCCACCACTTTCAGGTCCTCATAGATTTGCCACTGGTAGTCCTAGTATTTAATGGATTTTTGAAGGGTTTCCATGTTTTGATAAGTTTCCTTCATGTAGACAGGATGGCCAATAGGAATAGAGGGAAGTAAATTACCATTGTGCTATAGAACTGTCTTAAGGGATAGCTTTGATGAATCTATGAACTCTATGAATCTATCCTCCATTCAGAAGGGTTGTGATTGATATTTAATGCTGTCATCAGATCTGAGACTTCACAACAGGCAACAGGATTCTCATACTTTTTAAAAATGGGGATCAAGTCTTTCTGACTATTTCTGTACACTGCAATCATTACACCAGATTTTATAAAGTTCCATTGCTTCAATCGTGAACCCAAAAGTTCTGCTTTTTCTTTGGGCAGATCCAGGTCCCGAATCAAGTCACCGAGTTCAGCAAGAGTAAGCAATTAGCAAGTAATTCGTTGTTCTTGTTCGAAAGAAAAATCAGAATCATCTGATGGGATTCCTCCTAGGTGATTTTCCTCTTCGTTATCCTCGTCCTCATTCAATAGTGTTCAGGTGGCCTTGGATCAGGTAACTGGTCCCCGTGTGGGGTTAATGTAGATCAGTGTTATTAATAAACGGTCAGTTCATAAATACTCATTCAGGGACCATTTAATTTTTCATGACGAAAGTTAATAACCTATTTCCATTATAACTTAAATAATATATCATATTGAGCTTCAATAAATTTAAGTGTGAAAATATTTAAGAAGCAAGAAGTAGAATTAAATAATTTTAAATATATATATATATATATATATATATATATATATATATATATATATATATATATATATATATATATATATATATATATATATAACTACTTATAACTACCCTGTTATAACTACTTCGATGCCAAAACATGACCTGGCAAAATCAGAAATCACCGGATTAAGGTTTTGATTGCTATGACGATCGACTAATGAGCATTGCTTTAGTCAGAAAGTGACCCACTTGGCTAGGCCAAAATGTCAACTTTGAGAATAGATAAAATGGAAGCTTTTAACCGTACTATGTGAATGATGCCGCAATAATAAATATTTATTATAAATCAATAATAAATGATTGACGCACTCCTTGCTGAATTTTTAAAATGCGGTGGAAACGACCTTACCAAAGCTCTACAGGATCTCCTCCTTGTGATATGACTGATGAGATGATGGCTTCTGACTAGAATAGATCAATTATCTGTCCTATACATAAAAAGGGTGATACGTTGCTGGGCAGCAATTATCGAGGTATCTCCCTACTGCCTTGCGCTAATCTTATATTCTGTTTGGACGTCTCTTGCCATATGGTAGATGTGATCTCGGTCCGTACCGCTCGGTCCGCACGATGCCCTTAATTACGTGAAGCGCGAACGTTCATAGCAACTAGCTGTCCTAGGCAACAAAAAATCCAAGGAAGGATCTACGCAGCAAGCTTTAAAACAAAGCAATATTCCAATGAAATACCTTTTTTATTTTTCATGATTACCATATTTAATGTATATTATAAAAAAAATTGAAAAAAGTGTCGATACTTTAAATTTTATTTCAGTGTACATGGAACAAAAAAATATCACTTCTATAAAACGTAATGCTTTTATTCCAATTAAGAGAGAAAAACCCCTACCTTCCACGCTAATTCCCAATTTAACGAGGCTTTATAATTAGTTCTTTTTCGGATCTTCACTAAGTCCCACTGCAATGTACTTACAAATTAATTGTTTGTTATTATAACAGGAAAAATAGTACAATCTCATTAGCAACTTTGGTTTAATTGGTGTGGTTTTACAATTCATTATTTATTTAATTTGACATGTAGGTTTTAAGTGAAATACACCAGGAAAATAAAAATGTTATTCACATTAGCACGTTTTATAATCCATATTTTATTTGTTAGAAATTTATTTGGTCCCCTTCCTTTTCGACTCAATTGCTTATAAAAAATATTTTTGCATTGCTTAGGAACGGTGATTGGTTTTAAAATTATGTGCCGTGACTTACAATTAGTAATATATATATATATATATATATGAGAAGAAGTAGTTATGTTATATATTACATTGAGTACATATATATATATATATATATATATATATATATATATATATATATATATATATATATATATATATATATATACATATATATATATATATATACTCAATGTAATAATGATCATAACTACTCCTTCTCGTGGTCGTATTGCAGTGCATCTTTTCTACATTAGTAATCCCTCCTTTTGTTGTTGTCACCGCTTAAGTGGGTTAAATGAGCGGGCTTGATATATTTGTAGTATATTTTCTGTCACTTTGTTACATTTTATAGTTGTACTTGCTATTTATATTTGGATAGATGAGGAGTACGGATGATTACTTAATAGTTCAATTATATTTTGTTTGAATTAATGTAATATTTTCTGCGTTAAAAATACATTAGTTAAGTTAAATAAATGGCTTTATAATTAGATGTTATAGTTGACAGATATTTAAATTAAATTTATTAGATTATTGGGTTAAGAAATTACCAAAACTATTTTCCTACTTCTTTTGATCCTGTTGGACTAATATTGAAAAATTTCATATTTCTAATTATAATTGCTTAAAATTTACACGTAACAAATATATTTCAAATAAATCAAATAGATAAAATAAATGTTGTCTCTGGGCTCAAGTCCCCGACATGGTCGGATCTGGGGTTCCAGTTATAGGTTCATCCTATTTATATTTTGTACCTAGCTCCTTCCTAGTTTAATGGCTTGCACAGATTCTTTCTTTGTTGCATCATATATAAAATAAATGTTTGTCTGTTTTTGTGTTTGCGTAGTTGATTCCATTCCCTTATTGTATTATATGCTTATATAATATATATAAATATATGTGTGTGTGTGTGTGTGTGTGTGTGTGTGTGTTTGTGTGTGTGTGTGTGTGTGTGTGTGTGTGTGTGTGTGTGTGTGTGTGTGTGTGTGTGTGTTTGTGTGTGTGTGTGTGTGTGTGTGTGTGTGTATAAATGTATATTATACCAACTAAAATTAAAATTTATTTACTCAAAACTTTTACATGGAGCTATATTCATTAATATCCATCTCAACACAAGCATGTAATTGTAATTATTAAAGCATCATTCAAAATTTGTTTAAAAATTAAGACCACTTCCCTTAAATGAATATATTTAATGTAACATTTTCACAAGAGACATTAAAAACTGCAATTATAATTTAAAATGCTCACTATGTCAAACCACCATTACATATCAGAAAAAAATTATTTTGTTTTGTTTATTAAGATCTTTTCATTGAAAAGTAATACATTTTGCCGCTCTTAAGGCAACTGAGTACTACTACTGAGTGAGGCACATTCATACCATATATACAATACAATAAAAAAATAAATAAATGAAAAATATATATCTATATGCCAAATGCAAAAACTATAATAAAACTAAAGAAATGTAACTTAAAATTAAATAAAATACTGAAATTCATAGCAAAAATAAATAAATTATAAGAAAAAAATAAATAGATAAAAAAAAAAAAAGAAAAACATTCATACTTAATTACAATCAGTCGAGAGAGCTCCGAGTCCCTTTTCCCCAATTGTGAAGGAGAAGAGGAGACTAAGAGATCCCAGCGCTTCACTCTCAGCCCCGTCTCGTGCATTAGTGTAAAGTGGAGAAGCTGGCCATTGCCAGAACTTGAGTGACGTCTTTACAGAAGATCTCGAGGCCACTGTCGTTTTAATCTTTGAAGAGGATTGTAGGTATGACTGGAGGCCATCTGGATAAAGATTGTGCTAATGGATTATAACGGTGGATTAGGTCCAGGTGAAAATTCGAGAATCGGGATGGTCTATTAAGTCAAGTACTTAAGAGATGTCAGATTTTGTTCGTAACATAATAATGAGCATTGACTATTATATGGAGGACTGGAAGGATTGGATGCGTTTGATTTTCGAAAATTTAGTTGTCCCCCACAGTTTAAGTTCGTAGGCCCATATCAGTATGGTCTTGTATATTAATAGTTTGTTTTCAATTGACAGATTAGATTTTCTGTTAAGTAGTCTGTATAACTGGCCTAATCGTGGAACATCAGCATCAACTGGATAATAATTGGAGAAATCAGTGCCGCAGCGGACTTGAAAGGAACGATTTGAGACGTAGAATTTGAGAACTAGGTACAAAGATTGGCGTAAATGGGTTTTGAGCTTGAAAAGCAAACCCTCAATCTACACCCGGTCGAAAGCTTGTGCTACGTCCAAAAAGGCACCAATACAATATTGCTTGTTTTCAAGCGTGGAGGATATATGGTCAATAACGCGAAAGCCTTGTTGAAACATATTGGTCTATAAGAAGGGGTATTATGGAGTGTTTCCATATCAGAGGAAAGTAAGTTGTACGGAGGATACAGTTGTATAGGTATGTGAGGAATATGATTGCTTTTTTGAGAAGTTGTCTAAGGATTTAGGAAGTAAGATGATCTGTCCAGGGATTTTAGGTTGCTTACAAGTAATTTGACCTCAGAGTAATTGACAGCTTGAGGAAGCAAGAAGACAGGAATCGGAGAAGAGAGGAACTTAACTTCAGCAGTGTGGGCGGGATGGAGTGAGGAGTGAATGTTCTGGATAAGTGTTCGGCAAATTCTTCAGATCTTGTCTCATCTGTCTAACCAGGTTCAATCATCGCGTCGGAGTGGGAGGAAAATATAGTGGTATTTAAGGATTTTGTTGGTCACTTTCCAGAGAAATTGCCATCGGTAGAGAGGGAAGAAAGGTAGGAATTGTAGGATTGGTTTCTAAAGGAAGCTAGTTCTTTTTTTACCTGTTTATAATAATAATTGTAAAATTTCCGATCATCTGTATATTCCTGGTTTTTTGCCATGGGGTTCTAGATTGGGCTTGGAATTTAATAAGGTTAGTAAGGTCTTGGGGCAAAGGATTATTTTTATGGCATGTTTTGGAGGCGAGTGGTGAGACTGCTTGCTGGATCAAGGTGGTGAAGGAACTCCCTGCGTCATCTAGGGGTCTTGAGGGGTTTTTAGTGATACTCTGAGACCTATTGCATCTGTTATTGTTTGGCGGAAAAGGTTCTAGTTGATTAGGCCTCTGATGAATGAGATAGAAGATAATCTGGGGATAGGAGATGTGGAAAGGGTTAGGTTTAGCAGACTGTGGCCAGAGGAAAGATCATCAAGCCGTAAAACTGTTAGGTTCAGGTGTTGCTATTTTAGATGGAGAGTATACTGCGACAACTGTAACTGGTAAAAGTGAAGTTTAGATTTGTATTGCTGAGGTTTGTAGGAAATCATGAACTGGTAAAGGATTCAAGTGATGGGAAAGGGATTAATGGATGATGGCAACAGTGCCTCCATGTGCTGTTCCATCAGGGTGGTCAGTTAGAAAAAATTAAAAATATATTTTGCAGTTAATGAAAAATATTCAATATACTTCATAACGAAGCTGCCTTAATTTGGACGCTATATTTCTACTTATCGGCTTTATAAACTCAATATAATTTCTTAATAAATATATTTTTTATTTTAGGTCTCAGCCAAAAAGGCCATATTATAGAAACAAATGATTTAATAAAAATCTTGAAAACATTAAACTAAATAGTATAAATCATAATTATCAAATTCTATACGCGTTGTTGTTATTGTTATTGTTGAATGAATGTTGTAATTATAGAATTATAGTTGGGATTTATTTTTATTATTTATATTTTTATTTGTTTGCATGTTTATGTGTGTGTTTTTTTTTTTTTTGAAGATTTGGAAACTCCCGAAACCACAACAAATAGTGCCCTTTGCAACCAAACTACATTGATTTCTTGCGCATACCCTACAACAGTTAAACAAATTCATTTCGCTACAAAAAAAGAAGATTTGGACACCCTTTGCCCGTAAGTATTACTATTTTCTTAAAGCATTTTAACAAAATTATTTTTTAAATTATTTATCGATTGTATTCAGTGGTTAATTTTGTCACAAGTTTTTATTTTACTTTTGTTTTATATGCATAAGAAGTAAAAAGCTGAACAAATTGGTTCTGTGCTATTAAACATTTCAGATTACATTTAATTTGCTTCTATTACGACAGGAGAAATTATTTTTCGATACTTGTGGTGGTTATGTGTTGTGTTAAATGTCCTCCAATTGGGCATAGTGGATCGTATTCACAGATATGGTTGGGAATGGAACCTACAACGCTCGAAACCCAAGCTCTCGTGTTTTACGAGTTTTATAAATATGTCTCTGTAGTTCTTAATACGCGAATTCAATCATTTAAATACTGAATGAATTCAATTTATGTTACAATAAATTGTACTTCTTTTTTTTTTTTTGTCACATTTACTTGTATTTTTCAAGTAATACCGTTGTAAATTTCAATAAATAAATAAATATTTTTTTTATTTATTTAGCAACGGTAAAATAATAAACATTTATTTGTAAAAGTTGGTACAGAACGTTCTGACATTAATTCCATTGAAGCAGGAGTATCTCAGGGTAGTGTCCTAGGGACAATATTATTCAATATATGTATGTCAGGCCGGCCTCAGCACAATAACACTCTGCTGCCTAGTATTGCTAACAATACTGCAATCCTTAGCAGCAGATAAAAGTCCTAGATTTGAAAGATATTGCTGATTGGATCACAAGATAGAAAATTAAAATGAATGAAAAAAATAATGTGTACATAATATTTAATACTAATCATATACCTTCGCCCGAAATATATTTCAATAGCATTGAAATTCCTCCATCAGATGAAATTATATATTTGGGTTTTTATCTAGACAAAAGACTAACATGGAGGACTCACATTAGAGAAAAATTAATGGAATCAAACAGACGACGCGGTATTTTATTCAGGTTACATGACAGGTTACAAGAGTTCAAAATTATCTTTTACTAACAAACTAACCTTTAATAAGTTTTACTGAAACCAATGTGGATTTACTACGACTAACTTACAACATGAAATTCCACTGACGGAAATTCTTAAATGACTAAAAGATACCCCTACAGCCCATTTTTTTTTTTTTGTTTTATTAATTGAAAATGGATGTTTAGGTTTTAAACATTATAGAAAAGAACAACTGCAAATAGGTATTATACATATAATTAAATTTCACGAGTTGCTGAAAAAGTGAACTCCCTTGCGATGGATTAGAAGAAAGAGTATGCTA